TAAAAGTAGGCAATGTCATACTTGCTTCTCCTTACGAGATTTCGATTAATTTAATGCAGTTTATAAAATGAAATTAAAACTAATAAATGAGAAAAAATTTCAACAGTTAAGCATGTTCCTTTTTTAATATATATTTATACATTTTAAAATATTCATTTTAATTCAAAAATAACAAAAACCTCTAAGATGTTGAAGCCGAAACTATGGCTAAAAAACCGTGAAGGCTTAACTCTCCGCATTTCTAAGTGATTAGTCACTTAGATACTTAAAATTAGGTTCTATCTTTAAGTATTTTTTATAAAATTACATTCCTTTATCTAAAAATATATAGAACCCCAAATAAATGCTCTACAATACACCTTTATAGGGTACCCGTGAAGCATCTGCAGCTTCACTCAATCTTCCCCGAAGCCCTGGTTTCTGTGCCTGCTGTTGTGTTTTTTTTCGCTGTTCTGTTCTTTTCTATTCATATTATTTTTAATTATATGTAGCTACATAGAAAAATGCTCAAGTTCGGCATAGAATATGGAGTGGGGTGGAGAGATGGATGGGGGGATTCTAGCAGCCAACGGCAAAATGAGACCCACCCATTTGATGGTACCGCTCCTCTGCCCACCTGCACTGTCCTACAAGTACCTTAAAAAATATTTTCACTTTACATTTTTTGCGTGCGAATGTCGAGGGTGGTCGGGGTAGGGGTTTCGGAAGATTTCAAGGGGGATAGGGGGTGGCTAGCGAACGGTAGCGCCACGATACACAGACAATGTTGCTTGCCGCTAAGGCCTGATAATTACCAGGTTGTTGTTGCAACGCCCCCTCCCTCTTGCCACTAAATTTATGCTGCCTTCGCATGCACACTCAGGTGCAAGGGTGTGTAGATATGTATGTGTGAGTTGGTGTGTATAGAAGTCAAGTCAATCTTTAGACTGTTTTTACATAATTATAACAACGAGCTGTGTGCCTCCACCGATGATGCTTCTTCAGCTGGCATTTTATTGTTTTCGCTTCTCGTAACCCTTTTTTTTCATCTTCTTTCTCTTCTGCCGCTACTGTTGTGGCAATTTAAATGCCTAAACAATAATTTGTGCATAATTCTGGATTGGTTGGTTAAGGGGAGTGGCAGGCAGAGGGGTTATTGTTTTTGGTTAATTCATATGCCCAACCCAGTCATGCCAAGTCGCGATCTCAACTTCACTGGCAATTACGTTATGCAAATCTTTGTTGGCCAATTAGAGCACTTCCTCCGTTGGATGGCCAAGAAGCAGGATCTACATCTAACTCCTTGAAAGACAAAAGCCACAATATCCGTTTTCCATTAAAAAGGGCCTGGGCCATACATTTTGTCCATATTTTACGCACTTTACGCATTACGTTTTGGGCCCTAAACCGTAAGATAGATGGTATGGCAATGGTATTCGTACAAATGGGCGCTGGTTTCCGGTTTCCGGTTGGCGAGATATGGTCGAAAATTTACGGCCTAACGCATGTAAAGACCTCGGGAAAGAGTGTGAGAAAACTATTCGCGAAACCTTCAATTTCCCGAGGCACGCACAAAAATCCTACAAAAAGTACAGTTGTGCCTGCCATTAAAATGTATTTTCGCCACCCATTCAAGGCATTTTCCACATTTTCCACCATCGATGGGTGATGGGTGAAAAATATCGATAAACTGCACACACTGCCCACGCCCAGCCAAACCCAAACTGCGTGCATTTTATTTATTTATGTATATTATAAATTTTACATACACATCATTACGTAGGGCCTGGAGTGACTGCGTTAACTCTTTTTATGTGTAGGTGGATAGGGTAGGGTGTCGGTATGGTAGGGTGGTTGTTTTCCTGGGTGCCAATTTACGCACAATGAAGAAAGTTTTGTGGGCGTTTCACAAATCAGGGGCGGTTAGTAGGAGGTTAGATGGATTGAAGGTTTAAGGGATCGGTATTGGGATTGGGTTGGGAGAGGGGGGTATCTGGTAATTTTTAGCTTCCGTTTGCTGTTGCTTATTTGGGCATGACTGAACGGCCGCGGACGCCCGCCTCCTACCGCACTCCTACCGAATATGTAAGGCTGAGAGTCCGTTTGTGAGCTTGCAATGCCGGGCTGCCAGGCTGACGGGTTGCCTCCCCTCAGGTGTGCATGCGTGAAAATTTTTCCACCACATCGATTACTTTACGCAAATTAGTGCGTAGATATTTTGCAAAAATGTTCTATAAATAATTCATGTTCAGTTCAGTTTGATGTGCAGGTAATCGGCGTAATACGAGTGCCGAGGTCCCAGGTCAGTTGACTTGGCCCCTGGCAGGGCCTAAATGGTCCTTCGATTGGAGTTGGGGCAGTGACGGAGTGGTGGGCAAGCACACACATACACACACACACACATTGTCGCTTCATTTAATCTAAACGCTTAATTTAGCAAATTTATGCAATTTCCATGTCTCGATTTGCAGTGAAGCAATGGAGAGAGGTTTTAGTTTTGAATCATTTAGCTTCTTTGTATATTAGTTTCATGTTCAGTATTTTTTTGAGCTATGAAATGCAATATGAAGACGCCTAGAAGTATGTTATAATTTGTTTTCAGTAAAATTGCCCTTTATTAATATACAACATACTTTTATGCTGCCTTTTAAGAGCTTTTTAAGAGTTTTTAAACCTTTTGAGTAATTCCAATTAAAACACATAAATATTAAAAAAAATCTTCCAAATAATTAATTACAGTACTAGCGAAGGATACACCATTAGCTCTTTTCGGATATAGCTTAACCACCCTGCGTGACCGCGGAATGAGGGCCAATTTGTTATCCCTTCTCAAGAACTTAAGACCAAAATTCTCAAAGAAAGTGTGATTGGTAACAATGCGTACCATTATGTTTTCCTTTCTCAAGAGGGCCATAACCGTATCTCGTCCCACTGTTGATCCCTTGTCGGTTTGGCCTACCAAAACTAGGTAAAGGATGCATTTGCAAGCCGCCTTTTTAAAGAGCGATGTGACTGTGTCCGTGCTGAGAATGGGCTGGAAATTTGGAGCACCTGGTGTCTTTAGTTGTACTCGAGTCAATGCATTCATAACAGAATTCCTCATTTTATAAGGCGTATCATTCGCGATTACAAGACCTTGAGGTAAATCGTGACTCCTTCCTTGCACGCGCTTAAACGCATTAGGAAAGAAACGAAGTTGTGGCTGCTTAAAGCCATAGTTTGTGCAGTCGTTGTTGTTAATCCACCTAGTGCAGTTGACCAGGTAAATTTCCAAGATTCGTGGCAACTCCGTTAGAGGTACAAGCACATGGGAGATCATATTAATAAGAGGAGTCTTATCTCCCAACTTTGATTGGGTGAAGTAGATAAGGTTAGAGACTGAACTCTGACTCAGAAGATCATCCAAGTTTTTGTTGATCCACGCATATTTCCCTTTGGGCCACACTCGAATGATTCTACTGCCACTAACTTGGGATATCCTGTGATCTAGAAGTGTAGAATAAAGATTGCCAATTATATTCATTATTTGTTCTTATTTTTGAAGAAAATCTATTATTTTATACCATACCTACCATTTAAGTACCTTAATACGGCCTTTGCAAACTCGTTTCCATTCGCTTCCTTGGGAGACAGTTTTATGAGCCTACCCGACCAAGGTATTATGACCAATGTATCATTCAGCTTCTTAAAGTTAAGGCCAAAATTCCTAAAGACATTTAAATTATCCACAATGCGCACCGTTAGTTGTTTTTTGGATAAAAGAGCCATTATAGTATCGCTACCTAGTGTCGATGCCTTCTGGGCCTGGCCAACTAGAACTACAAAGGACATATTTTTGCTAGTCTTTTGTGTAAACAACGAGGCTATAGAATCTGTCTCGAGAACGGGCTTAAAGTTTAGTCGACCGCTTTTGTTAAGTTCGCGATAAAGGGCTTCTAGCAGAGCCTTCTGCATTTTACTAGGTTCATCATTGGGGATTGCAAGTCCTTTTGGATCTCCTTTCTTTAATTCCAACCGATTAAATTGTGTTGTAAAGAAACGTAATCCTGGAGCTTTATAATCATAGTTTGAACAGTCTTTCTTGTTAATGGATCTCTTACAGTTTATCAGGAATACATCCAAGATATCAGGTAAGTCTGTTAAGAGAAAAACCACTTTAGATACCGAGTCCAGGCCATCTCTACTGTCCTCCACTTTAGCTTCATTAAAATAGACTGCCGATGAAATCGGATTTTTACTCAAGAGCTCATCCAAAGTAGTGTTAATCGAAGAAACCGCCGATTTGGAGAGAATTTTTAAAATGCGTGTGCCGTTTTCTGTATAATTTCCGAATGCAAAAGGTAGAACGAGAATCACATAGAATATCAGCGACTGTAAAGCTCCCATTGTAGCTGATAAAGACTACTAACTAACCGAAGCTAATAGTTTTCTTAAAAGTTCTACTTCTATGCCTTTTAACTAAGTCGAATCATAATAGTAAATTGCTAAATCCGTGACCAAACCCAAGCCTCTGATTGGATTGTTTTGCTAAGCTATGGATTTTTCGGGAAAATCTTAGAACTACAATTTCGACCTAAAATGTCTATGTTTTAAGGTTTTCCTAGTTTCGACTCATTCGATGTTGAAATAATATATTATTTTTTCATGTTGCCAACGACCAAAACAAACGATTTCTAAACTGATTTCGAAACTTTAGTTTTTTAGCCAATTTTGCATTTTCGATAAGGGGGTTACATCATCAATTTTTGCTAAAAACTATCAACATTTGGAATTTTAAGGTGTGAATGCAAATCGATTAGAAATGTAATTACGAATTCAACGAGATATGACATTCCATTTTCCGATTATTTTTGGCTTTACAATGAGAAAAATACGTTTTTTTGAGTCGCACAATCAGGGTGAACCAAATTTACGCACTTTTGATTTTTGCCAAAAAATCCGTATTTCGATAATTTTTTGCTTTTCAAATACTTACATTTTTGGGCAAGAAAACAGGATATGCCAAATTATGAACTATTGAAAAAACTAAAACATTTTTTTGCAAAAGTTGGTGAAAAGTTAAAGTTTTTTAGATTTGAAAGCGAATTGAGATATAAGATAAGTCAAGTAAGTATATAATTTTTATTTTTTTTAAGTGCATAACTTTTTGAATAGTTTACAAGGCCAAATACCAATTGTTGAGATTACATAAATTATTAGTTAATTTTTCTTTAGGATACTAAAGTTCAATCGTATCCCCGCGGGGTAGGAAGCCCGTAAAAGCTTACGTTTTTAATATCGTAAAGGTTTTTCAAATACTTAAGAACTTCATCAGTCCGCCACTGAGAGTTAGCGTCTCGGCAGGTTGGGCAATTCTCTGCGTTGGGAAACTGAATCTTGGGGAACTTGGGATCCTCCGTCGTATCACCAGCAATACGTTGATTGACTTCGTTGTGAGCTGCCCAGAGCCAAAGGATCTCCTCGTCATAGGTATTCACTGCACTCATATTACGCCGTACGGCCATCTGTTGAAAGTGCTCCGAGCAATCTGTGCAGCCAAAGAAGTATTTGGCGAATCCATAAATAGTGTTTAGTATTGAGCCCGGTGAAAAGTAGTTCGGTGGCTTAGCGGACTGCACTGTCAAATAGTGAAACAGTGTCCACATGGAGCAGGTAAAGCCGCGGAGCAAGGGACGTGATCCGATGCAGCCAACATAGCGCCGTCCTTTAAAGACCTTCCGACCCTTTTCTAGCGAATCAACTAGCTCTCCGAATTCAGCTCCTTTGATACTCAGCTTAGGATCTAACGAATTATGCAGATCAGACAGCAGTAACTTTCCATCTTTGTTCAGCGGATTAAGATAATTTAAGACCGTAATGATAGTCTTTAGGGCAATCAGATTAGTACCCTCTAGCACGGGCCATTTACGAAGTTCAATGTGTAGAAGTTTATCAATTGCCTGTTCTAAGTCGGCTCGATAGACCTTGAAGGGCGGTTTTAGGACCTCGTCAAGGATCGCTTGATGTTGTTGATCCAGAAACTCAGTAAAGTTCGAAGCTACAGGGATAGGTAGCGGTGGATCTGGCTTGAAGTTGAGGCTCTTGAGGAAATCGCCAACGGAGGTGGCATAGGCTTCATATGTTTCCAAAGAAGGTGACAATAACTGGGCCTTTCCACTCCGATCAATGATGGCCAATTTCTGATTGGATGGTTCTAGTCCAAAGTTGGAAAATAGCTGGGCATCCCCAACAATCCTTACGGCAACTTCTTTATACGGCAGCAGTTCAAGCAGTGTATCCCTGCCAATCTTAGAATCATTCGGCTGAAGGACCAGGGCAATGTACTGTACAGGACTCTCCGAACTTTGATAGTCCAGGAAGAGGGTCTTGGCAGAATCGCTTGGTTTTACAGGCTTAAAGTTGGGTTGTCCGGTTCCATAATCATTCTGGGATACCAAATCAGCCAGAGCTGCCTTGATAAACTTTGGATCCTGACTTTGAATGGGTGATCCCAGATATTCCAGGTTCTTTTGTGTATCAGGACCAAAGAATCGCAGTGAAGGAGTCTGTCGAATATTGAAATCCCTGCATAGCTCTGCGTTTCTCTCCTGAGCACAATCTACGCCATAGATCCGAAGAATACGTCGCCATTTGTACAGGTCACGGGAAAGGGTCTTGAAGATCGGTGCGAAGCGATGGCAATCGCCACAGAAGCTGTTGAGGAACTGGACCAGCTTGTTGTTGTTCAAGTCGAGAGCCGGCCTCAGTGATCCGATATCCAACATAATCACATTGTCTGTATCGCTATAGAGACTCGCCTCGTTTGCCGACTTTCTGGCATTAATCCGGGCTGGTGTTACCTCGGGGGTGAAGAGTAGCAGGCCATAAAGTAGCGTCTTGAGTAGCCGCCGAATCATTTTCACTCACTGTGCTCACAAGTCAAATGAGCTACTTCAACTGATTCAATCGCAAGGGCTCTTTGGTAATTATAGCCGCATTTGGATTCGCCCTGCTCCGGTTGTTAAAAGTCCCCCTCCCTCCTTCCACCACAGCCCTGCTCTATCTTCTCTCAAAACAGGTTTTCTTAATTTTGTGACTCGCTATTCTATCCAGGCACACCCAAAAGATTCATGAATTTCATATTTATTTATATGTATATTATATGTAATCATTAAGAACAAGTCCAAAGTGACATCAGTGCAGGAAGAGTAAAGAATATATAGAGAAAAATTGTCCGAAATATTATGGATTTGGTTATACATTATTTCATTAAGCTTATTACAATTTTATTAATCTTTCCCCTTTTAATTATGCAGGTATTCCAAAAGAGCTGATATTTTTGGAACCATAAATCCGTTTCAGGTATTTTAGTACCTCAGCCCTATTCCACTTTCTTGGTTCAGTCATATAGCAGGATGGACAGTGTTTCCTCTGTGGAAACTGCATTTTCGGGAACTTCGGATCCTCTGTGGCATCGCCATACAATCTTTTATTCACCTCATTATGAGCTGCCCACAGCCAAAGGATCTCCTCGTCATGCGTTTTCACGGATGCTATTCTTCTTCTCTTGGCCATCTTTTGAAAATGCTTGGCACATTCCGCGCAGAAGAAGAAGTACTTGGCAAACCCGTAAAGTCCTATTATCACAGAGCTGGGCGGATAAGTTCGTTTCTCGGCAGCCCTTACGGTTAGGTAATGAAACAATACCCAAAAGGAACAGGTGATGCCTCGCGCAAAGGGCTTAGATCCCACACAGCCGATGTATCGCGTTGCCGAAAACGGTTTCTGGGGGCCTTTCTCGGCATCGTTGACTTTAGTCATGAACTGTTCTCCAGTGATTTCATCATTCGACTTTACATATTTTACAAGGCTCTCCATAAGATGCTTTCCATTTTTTCTCAAAGGACTGTATTTATTGAACACCCTCATAATGTGGCGAAGAGCCTTTAACTTATAGCCAATTAGAAGTGGAGCTTTTGGTATTTCGATGTGTATGATTTGGTAGATAGCTAACTCCAAGTCAGCTTGATAGACTGTTGGTGGTGAATTCAGGACTTTGTTCAATATATCATTATCCCTCCCTTTTTTCATTGACATCGTGGGAGTTTTTGTTGTTGGCAACCTTGGAATACTGGTGTGTCCTTTCTGCTGCAGAAACTGAGCAATGCTGTCCACGTAATCAAATCTACTTTGGCCAGAAATGGTTAAAGATTGCACATTTCCACTTTTGTCTAAGAGCGCTATCTTCTGGCCAGTTGGTTTTAGTCCGAAATTGGTAAAGAGATCTTCATTTTTAAGAATTCGGACTGCCACATCGGGATAGGGTAGCAGATCGAGAACCGTTTCTATTCCAATCTGGGATTCCGGTGGCTCAAGAACAAGCAAAATATAAGACACCTTCCCAGCATAGCGATTGAAAATGCTTTCCTTTGTTTCATTCGACTGAATGGGCTGAAAGATGGGCTTAAGTTCGTTGGTTCCACTGTAGTCATTTTTGGCCAATAAACCAGCTAGCTCTGTCACAATATCCTTAGGGTCAAGACTTTCTGCACCAACTTCTCTACCAACATCTGAAGGCGATTTGATAAAATTAGAGGGAAAATAACGCAACGTAGGTGTGCGTTCTATCTTAAATTCTCGACAAATGCTCACAGTTACTTGTCGGGCACAGTCCACAATATAGATCCGCAGAACTCGATTCCAATCCTGTAGCTCTACGGCCATTTGCTTAAAATATGGCGCATATCTTCGACAGTGTCCGCAAAGCGCGCTCATGAATTGCACTAGTTTTCCACGGCCTGGTTCGGATAAGTCTAAGGTTGTTCCGTTCACAACATGAACATTATCAAATTTCGAGTATATACTCTCTTGCTCTTCAACTATCTGGGCACGAATAAGATATCCTCCATTAGAAATCAGGATAAGGATAAACGGAAGGCTTACACCAGACGATAACCCGAAGAGCCGAATCATTTTTCTGGCAACTAATTTCAGTTTTTCTACCTAACTTGATGTGTTACATAAAAACAAGTTAATTAAGCTCATTAGCCTCGCTTTGTAGTTTTAAGTGTAAATAATTGGTAATCGTTAGTTTTGGTGGATGAAGAAGACTGAGGGATTGGAATTTTAAGTTTATATTTATTTTATTTTAAGATCCAGTTTTTAACGCCATTTTTGGTACGTCTTTTCCAAAATTCTGGAACTTGCTCAGATTTTTCCTTTCGTACGCCGTCTTATTACACCTTTTTCTTCTGGGGCCACTGAAAAAAAAGGATCACTGAACTGAATGGTAATCAAGTCGTGGAATTCCCAGAACTAATGTCTCCCTCATTGATTGAAATATAATATGATTATATTTAGCTTTTCGGTTGTTAAATTCTTAAAATATTTCCCTTATTTATAACTGCATTAGGTGGATATTCCATTAAAACTGAGATTTTTAGTACTGTAAATCCGCTTTAAGTATTTCAGTACCTCAATCATGTTCCATCTATTCGTTCCACCTATATAGCAGGATGGACAGTGTTTCCTCTGTGGAAATTGCACTTTTGGAAACTTTGGATCCTCGGTAGCATCGCCAGACAATCGTTGGTTAACCTCATTATGCGCAGCCCACAGCCAAATGATCTCCTGGTCATACGTTCTCACGGATGCTATTCTTCTTCTCTTGGCCATCCTTTGAAAGTGCTTGGTACATTCCGAGCAGGAGAAAAAGTACTTAACAAGTCCGTAAAGTCCTATTATCACAGAGCTGGGTGGATAAGTTCGAATTTCGGCAGCCCTTACGGTAAGGTAATGAAACAACACCCAAAAGGAACAGGTAATGCGACGCGAAAAGCGCTGAGATCCCACACAGCCGATAAATCGCGTGGCGGAAAACGATTTCCAAGAACCTTCCTCTGTTTCGTTCACTTTAATGAAGAACTGTTCTCCAGTGATTTCATCATTCGACTTTACATATTTTACAAGGCTTTTCATTAAATGCTTTCCATTTTTTCTCAAGGGACCATATTTATTTAACAGCCGCATATTGTGGCGAAGAGCCTTTAACCTATAGCCAATAAGAAGTGAAACTTTTGGTATTTCGCTGTATATAATTTGATAGATAGCAAGCTCCAAGTCAGCTTGATAGATTGTTGGCGGTGAGGTCTGAACCAGAAACTGAGAAACACTGTCCACGTAATCCGAACTATTTTGGCCAGAAATTGTTAGAGATTGCTCTTTTCCATTTCTATCTAAGAGCGCTAACTTCTGACCAGTTGATTTTAGTCCGAAATTGGTAAAGAGATCTTCATTTTTAAGAATTCGGACTGCCACATCGGGATAGGGTAGCAGATCGAGAACAGTTTTTATACCAATCTGGGATTCCGGTGGCTCAAGAACAAGCAAAATATAAGACACCCTCCTAGCATAGCGATTGAAAATGCTTTCCTTTGTTTCATTCGACTGAAGGGGCTGAAAGATGGGCTTAAGTTCGTTGGTTCCACTGTAGTCATTTTTGGCCAATAATCCAGCTAGCTCTTTCACAACTTCACTTGGGTCAAGAGTTTCTGCAGCAACATCGCTACCAACTTCTGAAGTCGATTTGATAAAGTTAGAGGGGAAATAACGCAACGTAGGTACGCGCTCTAACTTAAAATCATGACAAATGGTCACAGTTACTTGTTCGGCAGCACAGTCCACAATATAGATCCGCAGAACGCGGTTCCAACCCAGTAGTTCTATGGCCATTTGCTTAAAATATGGCGCATATCCTCGAGAGTATTTACAGTTCCTGCTCATGAATTGCACTAGTTTTCCACGGCCTGGTTCGGATAAGTCTAAAGTTGTTCCGCTCACAATTTCAACATCATCAAACTTTGAGTATGGACTCTCTCGCTTTTCAACTTTCTGACCACGGTTCAAATATCCTTCATTTAAAATCAGGATAAGCGGAAGGCTTACACCACACGATAACCCGAAAAGCCGAATCATTTTTCTGGCAACTAATTTCAGTTTTTCTACCCAACTTATTGTTTTACATAAAAACAAGTTAATTACTTTGAAGTGTAAATAATTGGTAATCGTTTGTTTTGGTGGATAAAAAAGACTGAGGGATTGGAATTTTAAGTTTATATTTATTTTATTTTAAGATGTAGTTTTTCAACGCCATTTTTGGTACTTCTTTTCTTAAATGTCGGAACTTCCTCAGATTTTTCCTTTCGTAGATATATTTTAAGAACCGCATTAGAACTTCTCGAAGCCATCTGTTATGGTTGGTTGTGCACTTTTAACAGTTTTTCATTTAGGGCCACGGAAAAAAATGTTCACTGGACTATATTCCCTCATTGATTTAAATATTATTGCTTTTGATTATATTTTGCTTTAAGGTTGTGAAACTGTTTAAATATTTCCCTTATTTATGGCTGCATTAGGTGGATATTCCATTAAAGCTGAGATTTTTAGTACTGTAAATCCGTTTTAAGTATCTCAGTACCTCAGCCTTGTTCCATCTATTCGTTCTACTCCTATAGCAGGATGGACAGTGTTTCCTCTGTGGAAACTGTACTTTTGGGAACTTCGGATCCTCTGTGGCATCTCCAGACAATAGTTGGTTCACCTCATTATGGGCTTCCCACAGCCAAAGGATCTCCTGGTCATGCGTTCTCACGGATGCTATTCTTCTTCTCTTGGCCATCTTTTGAAAATGTTTGGTACATACCGAGCAGGAGAAAAAGTACTTAACAAAGCCGTAAAGTCCTATTATCACAGAGCTGGGTGGATAAGTTCGAATTTCGGCAGCCCTTACGGTAAGGTGATGAAACAATACCCAAAAGGAACAGGTAATACGTCGCGCAAAGTCCTTAGAGCCCACACATCCGATGAATCGCGTGCCCGAAAACGATTTCCAAGGGCCTTCCTGGGTTTCGTTCACTTTATTGAAGAACTGCTCTCCAGTGATTTCATCATTCGACTTTACATATTTTACAAGGCTTTTCATTAAATGCTTTCCATTTTTTCTCAAGGGACCATATTTATTTAACAGCCTCATATTGTGGCGAAGAGCCTTTAACTTATAGCCAGTTAGCAATGAAACTTTGGGTATTTCGATGTGTGTGATTTGATAGATAGCTAATTCCAAGTCAGCTTGATAGATTGTTGGCGGTGAGGTCTGAACCAGAAACTGAGAAACACTGTCCACGTAATCCGAACTATTTTGGCCAGAAATTGTTAGAGATTGCTCTTTTCCACTTCTGTCTAAGAGCGCTATCTTTTCGCCACTTGGTTTTACTCCGAGATTGGTAAAGAGATCTTCATTTTTAAGAATTCGGACTGCCACATCGGGATAGGGTAGTAGATCGAGAACAATTTCTATTCCAATCTGGGATTCCGGTGGCTCAAGAACAAGCAAAATATAAAACACCTTCCCAGCATAGCGATTGAAAATGCTTTCCTTGGTTTCATTTGACTGAAGGTGCTGAAAGATGGGCTTAAGTTCGTTGGTTCCACTGTAGTCATTTTTCGCCAGTAATCCAGCTAGCTCTCTCACAACATTATTAGGGTGAAGACTTTCTGCACCAACTTCTTTACCAATATCTGAAGTCGATTTGATAAAATTAGAGGGAAAATAGCGCATCGTAGGTAGGCGTCCTATCTTAAAATCACGACAAATGCTTACAGTTACTTGTTGGGGGGCACAGTCCACAATATAGATCCGGAGAACTCGGTTCCAACCCAATAGTTCTACGGCCATTACCTTAAAATATGGCGCATACCTTTGACAATGTATACAGTTCCTGCTCATGAATTGCACTAGTTTTCCACGGCCTGGTTCGGATAAGTCTAAGGTTGTACCGCTCACTATTTCAACATCATCAAATTTCGAGTATAGACCCTCTTTCTCTTCAACTCTCTGGGCACGAATAAGATATCCTCCATTAGAAATCAGGATAAGGATAAGCGGAAGGCTTACACCACACGATAACCCGAAGAGCCGAATCATTTTTCTGGCAACTAATTTCAGTTTTTCTACCTAACTTCTTGTGTTACATAAAAACAAGTTAATTAAGCTCATTAGCCCCGCTTTGTAGTTTTAAGTGTAAATAATTGGTAATCATTTCATTTGCATGGACGAATACGATTTTCAAGGAGTAGAACAATTTCAAGAGCTTTGAAAACACAGAAAATATTGTGGATAGAGCTATGAAGTAGTACTAATTATCACAGAGAAGGATAAAGAGTTTTAGTTAGTGATGATACGATTTCCTTTGGTTTGGCACTGATTTATGAAGATCGTGATAAAAATGTTGTGACAAACAATTGCAGAAAAAGTTTGAAATTAAAGTTTTCATTGGACAAATTCACAAGAGAAACAGTGTGACCAGATATAACCAAAACTAGAGATTGAACTTTTATATAAAGAGCCACATTGCGATATATCGGTATTTTAACACTGATAAATACTCATTATTTTCAGTACGTTAAGAAAACAGAGACATTTACAGACATTTTTGTGCATTCTCACTCTACATCAGTAATCTGTGGCATCTAACCAAGCTTACTTCCCTTTTCAATTTAATATCCTGAATGACCCTGCTGCTATGCTAATTGGATGTAAATGAGTCTAAACGATCCCAATGGGTTTTCAATTATCAAAATAAATGCCAAAATACCAGCAGGATGTTGGCACACACAAGGACTCTTTAGAACAAACTCCCCCAAAAGCACACACACACATGCAACAAGTTAGCCAGAGCAACAAGTTTGATAATAGTTTGCACCGAAAAGTGGCCAAAAATATCAGATGGAAAATATGCCAAACTTTGCGGCTTGCCTGTCTCATTTACATGGCCAAATCCAGCAGTTAACCACAGTTGACGTCACGGATTATGGCCATGAGAAGATGAAACAAGACAAGCGCCACTCCAAACTTTCCACGCCAAACTTGTTCGGGTGTGAAAACAAGCCTCAAATGCAGCTTAAAACTTTTTGGCAACAGTTTATTTCGAGCTAGGGGAGAAGGGGTTCATTTGTTACGCCTTCCTCAGCCTCGTAGCCCCACAGAATCCTTAACATTGCCACAAGTTGGCCAACTTTCAACTGGCTAATTTAATTTAACACTGAAGTCCTGGAGGCTGTTGTTTCTGGCATATTTTAAGGCAGATTAACTGTGAAAAGGCGTTGCAGTGGAAATTGTTTAGCTTTTTATATGGAAGATACGATTGTTGGGGAGGGTAATGATGAATGAATGTGATTTAGGTAGACAGAAAGGTGCTAAACAATACGAAGATTAGCTAAATGAATTAGTATATACCTGATGTAGATTAACAAATAGATTGAATATTCAAGCAATTTAGCAAAGCAAATTTAAGCAATAAAAAATGATTATCCTCTTATTATATACGAGGTGTGTTCAAAAAGTAAGGTGACTCTTCAAATTTCGCGAATTTCAAATTTTTCGATTATCGAAACCTTTTAGAAGTTATACGAGGTGTGTTCAAAAAGTAAGGTGACTTTTCAAATTTCAAATTTTTCAAATTTTTCGATTATCTTCAGTTTTGGGAACAAGAAAAAGTCACATGGGGCCAAATCCGGTGAATATGGTGGCTGAGGCATTATTGTGGTGTTGTTTTTGGCCAAAAAATCCAAATCCTTTGATCCATATTTTTCGATAGCAAAAAATCGCCGAGCTCGCAAAACAACTTGTAACTTTACGCCTCTCACAACCAAACAAAAGAGGATGTTCCATTGAAACTTGGTACAGATGTTAGGGAAGAGTGTACCAATATAACAAAACAAAAAAATCGATAATCGAAAAATTTGAAATTCGCGAAATTTGAAGAGTCACCTTACTTTTTGAACACACCTCGTATCATAAAAAGATAATACTAATCACAAATCACCAATAAATCTGCAAATGATTGAAATATTAATAAAAAGCTTACCCACCCACTAATCATAATTCCATACACACCATTTATGCCCAGCAAGCATTTTGTTTAATTAGACTCTGGGCCATTTCCGATTACCGCAACAATTGTCGCACAAACTTTCAATCAGCAAAAAAACGAGAAAATAAAAAAACCGAAACACAATGAATAGCTGGGCAAACATGGGGCTTAGTTCTCAGCCAAACCAAAACCCAAACCCAAACCCAGAGGAAGACCAACCCATAACCAGGCGGCACAGGATGATGATCAACAATGCGCTGACTGACATGAACAATGTTGCAAATCGGTTTGCAAATCAGGCAGCAGAAATCGGAGCCAACTTGCAGTCACTCAGACATGATGGCAGTCGTCAGTAAAAATTGCGTAAAATACAAATATTGTGCCAGACTCATTCCACCTACTTTTTTACCCATTTTGATTCATTTTTTTCTTCTTTTTTTGTTGTTTTCGATGCTGTTTTGTTCTTGTGCCCAGGATGCACTGCGTGAGCTTGATATGGAAGGATATGGAATAGGGAAGTTGTGGCGGGAGCGGGGGTAGAGAGAAGTCCATCAAAACGATTTGAATGCGTCGCTGACGTTGATGAGTTTGAGTGAAAAGCGGCAGCAACGTATGGCAGGATAATAGTGAGGAGGGGGATCGACAGGAAGAGGGACAAACAACGAGCCAAGTTCGTCAATCAAAAGCTAAACCGAAATCTCTTCATGCGTGGAACAGAGCAGGCAAAGCAGGGCATAACGGCCAAAGGATGATGCAGGATTCAGAACTACACTGAGGGAAAGTCTTCATAAAAATATTTACAAAATTAAATCTTAAATATATATTATAGTAAAATGTTTCTAAATAATGTTAGATTAAGGAATATTCATTTTAAGAATAAGAAAAAATGTTGATGTAACTTTAAGTTATGTAAAAATATTACATAAATGAAAATCTTTCCAAAATGATTTTATGGGTTTGGTTAGGATATATGGCCTAATCCAGAGAATATTGGTTGCAATATTTTACTTCTAGAACTTAAAATCTTTTTAATTTTTAACACAAAAACCTGAACAGTTTTTGAAAATTTCCAATAGATCCAAAAAATTCCCAAAAAATGAACATCATTCATTCTTGCCGTGCACTATACGAGGATGACGCTGAGGATGCGTTTGCTGTTTGTTTTGTTTTAATTTTCTCGATTCTTTTTTTTTTGCCTGACTTTTTTCCTTTTTCCAACCAGCTACTCCCCCACTTTCCAGCGTTCTTTTACTGTTTTTTTTTTTCGTTATTTGAAAAACTCTTCAGCTGGTGAATTGTAGCCATGTTTTTATTGTTGTTGAGTTTGGTTTAGTTTGTGCCGCTCTAAGCGTTGGCAGTTACCAGTTAGCAGCTTACCAGTTTGCCAGTTTGTCATGCATTACCAGTAGCCAGTATCTGTTTACATTCGCCCACTTTAGCCGTTTGGAGCGGGAAACGCATTTGACATTTCATCTGATGACTGTCTGAAATCGCCGCTGATGATTTGATGCGTTTGTGTGCGTGTCGAGTGCGAGGGGATGGGTTCTAAGGGGTGGGGCGGGGAAGCTGGCAACAATGCCCTGAAATTTGCATTGTTAGCAAAACACTACACAGTGAAATGAACGGGCCAAAGTGCCCGGCAAACGCACCCACACGCACACTTGACAAGTCGCCAAACCCAAACCCAAACCTAAAACCAAACCGAAACCAATCCTAACCAGAAACTCCTCCCTCACCCCCTGTTGAATGGCATGCCCCCCAGCTTTTACTTCCGCTTTTAATTAAAAATAAAAAATATGTACACTCAGGCATAGAAATAAAAAAAAAAAAAACAGGAGAGGATTTGCAACCAAACCAAACAATAACCTGCCGCAGCAGGCCAACAAAAATGGATGAGGGAAAAAAATTCACAATTATTTGCGTACAAAAAGGCTGAAACAAAAAAAAAACAGCAGATCCCAGAGAGAGAAATTGAAAAACCACATTGCATCGGGGTAGTCCTGCAGGCAGGCTGGCAGTCAGCTATTTGCATATGCGTATCTCACAGATACGCACTTTGGAGGGCAGGACATGTGAAGGGTCCCCGGGCCAGGACAGCGGCAGAAGCTCTTAATTTGTCTGCAAATGCAGCAGCAAACTAATGAAAATTACGCAATTTGAAAAAATGGAAAAAGTTTTTGAACAGCTTTGTCAGAAGGGAGGGGGAAAAGGGGCTTAAATGGGAAGGGGATTAATGAGAAGGTGCGGCAGGTGAATGAGTTGGTAAGGAAGATAGGGAGTGTTGGGGCTTATAGAGATGGGTAGATGCACTTTCTGGACATTATAAGGCATCGTGTAATTATTTATAAGATACATTTCAAACAGCTTTTGAGATCTTGAGGGTATATTATATATTAATAGATAATTTTTGTGATTTTTTAGACACCTTTTTTTGGAAATTTAGAATGTTTTATCATTTTTCTCTTCCATTTTAGTAGTTTAACACCTCAAACGAGTCATAAGAGATAAGAAAATTAAATTTTTAATAAAAAAAAAAATATATTATTTAATTTCCTCATCAGCCCAATATACCTCTCTCTTAACCCATTACTTTCCCACCTCGACCATCCGAGTTAACCCAACTAGGACTCTCCATTTGCGTGTGCATTAGCCAACAGGACGAGGCAAACACATCCTTCCTGGGCGC